TTTTAAATTTGAAAATCATGGTTTTACATACAAATTGTTTTTTAAAATAAAATATTAAAAATTGTTAGGTTATATTTACTTTTTTTTGTTTATATTTTTCATAAAAACATTGTTTTATTTCATTTATATGAAAAAAAAAGAAACAAACATAAAACTTTATTTTTATCGTTTCCAAAATTCATTTTTAAAAGGAAAAAAAAAACTCAAAATAAAAATGTAGAATCATCATCAAATCCATCAAATGTTAGAAATAAGATGTTTTAAAAGATTGTCTCCTTTATCATGTTCTTTCTTTTCCCTCACATTTTTCCATTCTCTGACCATCTTTTCAGAGACATGAGTTTATCCGATCCTAATAAGTCGAATCTGATCTCAAATTAGGGGAAAAATATATTAGAAAAGAAAAAGCATAATATATTACCAAATAAATATTCCTTCGAAATAATCAAATTGGTTTATAATATTTTTTAACATTTATAATCCAAAAAGTGATTCTAAAGTAGTTTACTAAAAATTACCTTATGGTTATAATGCAACCAAACAGAGGAGTGACGACAATCAATCTAAAGATAATGTAACCAAACACTTATATATTTTAATTAAATCTATTTTTATGAAAATTATAAAAAAAAAAATATTTGTTCAAAAAGTTATTAAATTGGAAAGTTTTTCAAACTCACCCCTAAAAGATAGCAGATGAAACAAAAACATATACGATTCTCTTAAAAACTTAGTTTTTGTTTCTGAAATTTGGTCAAGAATTCAAACTGCGTTTATCAAAAAGGTGAAAAACGTATTCAAAAAGTATCCAAAAAGTAACATAATTTTTTAAAATAAGAAACCAAAAACGAAATGGATATCAAATCTAACCTTTAAAGGCGCGATGAAGTTGGTTAGCATCATCCTGTGGAGAAGTTAGCTGAAGCGGAATGATCAAAGAAGACATTTCTGATCTGTTTATTGCTTGAACAAAGCCTTGTATGAATCTGCTTGTTTCCCGAGAAAGAAAATGAGAGAAAATTTGGAACCACATAGAAAGGAGAAAGAGAGATGAATTGTAGTGGGGTAGTAGGCTAAATATAGTAAATCTAAATTGTCTTTTTTTTTCCTTTCAATCTTTCAAAATTCTTGATTTCACCCTTAATGTTTTTTTTTTACTTCACCTGGATCTTAGACCTCATGTCACTGCACCAATAACTTAGGTACAACCTTTAATGTATTAAAAACTTTCTGTTAAGTTCTTTAATTAAAAGAGAAAAGGTGATAAAATTTAGTTAACAGAAAGTTGCCATATTATTAAATTGTTGTTGGGCAAATTATACTTTTGGTCCTCGAGGGTTGAAGTTAGTACCTATTTGATTCCTAAAGTTTTAGAAGAGATATTTCTAGTTCACGAGAATTTGGAAGATGATTTTCTAAATTATCTCTGAGCTCTTTGACCATTATTTGACGAACACGCTAAAATGATGTAACGAGAGTTGCTGACTATATATTGTTAATGTGTTCTTACTAAAAAAATATGTTGTTCACAATCTCTCGGTTGAAGATATATGTCAATTATCGTTGAGTTATTTATGCTCACTTTGCCTAAAAAAATATGTTTTTGATGTGATAGATTATATTAGTTTAATAATATCTTTATGGCAAATCATTGTTGGAATGGAATGTGTTCCCAGCATTTCAAATGTAGAAAGTGTTTTCATTTCAGATGTGAAAACACGTTCGAGAATCATTTTCCAAACTTCGGTTGTAAAAGATTCTCTTACGAGACTTTAATATAATGACTAAATAGATATTAATCTCAAACTTTGGACCAAAATTATATTTGTGTTATTTTTGTTTTATGATGTTTCTTGAACACGTGAGTAGAGGCAAAGCCACGAAGGAAGGAAGAGAGTTTTGTTTTATTTTCAAATAAAATTTCTGGTTCCACCCTGTAACCTAAAATATTCGGTAAAGTTGAGTTTTACACGAAAAACACATTCTAAAATATTTGGTAAATTAAATACTAAGGCCCATTTTAGTTTTTCATATTTGGCTTTGCATTTTTTAGAAAACAAAAACATGTTTGATAATCATTTTTTTGTTTTTTGTTTTTAAAAAACAGAAAATCTGGTAAGTTTTCTATTTTTAAAAAGTTAGAAAATTAAAAATATATATTAGAGAAAGAAAATTATATGTAAAGTAGAGACGACAAATGGTGTGGATGCGAATCAGGATGCTCTCCCYCATTCTCGTGCTCGTGAAAATTTTTAGTCTCTGTCTCCACCTCGTTCTTCGGTTCGAGAGATGTTTTTGAGAAAATTATCAGTTTTATAATTGTTTTTAATTATTTTTAGAATTTAAGCATAAAAAAGTGTAATAAATATATATTAATTATTTAAAAAATGGAATCGGGAACGGGGAAAGGGTCGGGACATACATTTCCTATTTTTGGGATCCGATCCTACGGAAATTTTTGTCATCCCTATATGAAAATACTTTACAGATATGTAAATAAACTTTTGGAAGATAAATTTTAGAGAAATAAATAAATAAATTTAGAAAAAAAAATATAGTGAAAGAAAAGTTAAAGACAAAAAGAGAAAAAATTTACAAGAGAAAAAAAGTAAAGTGGAGAGGAAAAAGTATATTAAAGAAAAAAAAATTTAAGAAAGAGAAAAATTAGAGCGAAAACGAATTTGGAGATAAAAACAAGATTCAAAATATAATTTTTAGAGAAAATAAATAAATGCATAGATAAATAAAAGTTACAGAAAAAGAAAATTAAATGATAAAATAAGATATAATTTTTAGAGGAAAAAATAAATTACGAAGAGAGAGAAAAATTATAGAACACGAAAGTTTAAAGAGAAAAAAAGTTAAGAAAAATATTAAATTTTTAAAGAGAAATGAAACAATAAAAAATAAAAAATACATAAATTTCAGAGAGACACAAATGATAATAAATATTGAAAATATGAAAATTTTAGGAAAAAAAACAAATTTTGTAGAGCGAAATTTAGGAAAAAAATGTTAGAATGAGAAATAAATTTTTTAAAGATAAATATGAGAAAGAAAAAAAAATGGAGTATTACCTCAAATAAATCAGATTTTGAAAAACATAAATCTATTTTTCAAAATTACTTTTTTTATTTTTAAAATTTATATAGAATTTCAAAATAATTTTTGAAAAAAAAAACAGAAAATTAAATTGGTTATAAAAATCTAATTTTTAAAAAACTAAAAAACCAAAAATCAAAAATTAAAAACGAAATGATTGTCAAGGGCGCCTTTCATTTTTTGTTTCTTGTTTTCTGCTTTTCAAAATCTGATTTCTTCTCCTGACCTTTTCTCCTTTTTCATATTTATATCTAAAAACTTTTTTTTCACTCTAAAATTTTGTTCTTTCTAAATTTCTCTCTACAAAATTTATTTATCTCTCTAAAATTTTCATATTTTGAATATTTATCTCTGTATTTATTTATTTTCTTTAAAAATTATATTTTGAATCTTTTTTTTATGTCTAAATTTGTTTCCACTGTAATTTTTCTCTTTCTTTTTTTTTCTTTAACATATCTTTTCTTTCGGACTTTACTTTTTTTTAATTTTTCTCTCTTTATTTTTAACTTTTCTTTCATTAATTTTTTTTCTAAATCATTTTATATATCTCTTCAAATTTTATCTTCCAAAAGTTTATTTACATCTCTCTAAACTTTTATTTGCATGTCTCTACATTAGGGATGACAAAAAATTTTGCAGGGTCGAGCCCCAAAAATAGGAAATGTATGTCCCAACCTGATTCCCAATTCCATTTTTTTAATAATTAATATATATTTATTACAATTTTTTTATACTTAAATTCTGAAAATAATTAAAAGCAATTATAAAACCGATAATTTTTCTCAAGAACATCTCTCGAACCGAATAATGATGTGGAGACGGGGACTAAAAATTTTCACGAGCCCGAGAATGGGGGAGCATCCTCACTCGCACCCACAAACCCATACTATTGTCATTTCTACTCTACATAGAATTTTCTCTCCAGTATATATTTTCAATTTTCTAACTTTTTAAAAAACAGAAAACTAAAAATGGTTACCAAACATGTTTGGTTTTCTGTTTTTTAAAAACCAAAAACAAAAAATTGTTATCAAACATATATGGTTTTTGTTTTTAAAAAACATAAAATCAAAAACAGAAATAGTTATCAAACGGGCCCTAAATTGTTGCGATTTAACTCATACAAAAAAAAAAATTAAACCTGTTTACTTCAAGGAATGAGAATTAAGGAATATGAATTAAAATTGTCATTGTTATATGTGATGATATTTACTAAAAGGTAGGAATTGAATCAGTTAGTAAAATCCGCTCAAACTTTGTATCAACCCTCCAAAAATAGTGTAATCTCATTYATTTCCCACAATCCCATATGTCATTTCTATTTTTTATTATGTCGGCTCACACATTTATAATAATTATTTTACAATTTGATCCTTTCACCCTCATTTTTTAATAAGATCCTAACTTTTTAATTAATTATTTTATACTTTTATTATTTGTATTTTGTTTATAATACTAATAATTTTTCTTCTAATCAACATTTATAGAACTTTTATCTGCTCATACGATTTTATTATAAAATATTACAATTTTCTATTTTATTTTTTAATTATTTAATTTTACTTGGTTATTATTAATTAATACCAATAAATTTTAAAAAATATAATTGCTGTTAGAACAATAAAATCTAATAATATTTTATATCAAATTACGATTGTTCTAATAAAAAATTATTTTAGTTAATTTAATTTATTTTAATTATTTATTATTTGTTAATATTAAATAGATTAATATAACAAAAAATATTTACTAGAATAAAATATTAATAAAATCAAATAAATTTTATTATTATTTTAATTGTTTAAAAAAAATAGTACTTTGTAATTAGCTTAAAATAAGAAAGGAACGTATTAGTAATTGTTATATATATCTTATTCCCATTTCGATTCCAAATAGTTTTACTCACAACATCAAAAGATTTCTAATTCTGATTCCGTAAATTTTTTACTAAACAACATCAAATGAATATAACGTTCTCATTTGGATTGAATTTATTCAAATTTATTTTCATTTTGATTCGTTGTAATTAAATATGGCCTAAGTTGCTCCTAGCCTCCTAGGTTGATGAAAGGGTTGTAGGACCCTGCGGTTTAAATATACTACTCACGTATCATTTCTCAACATGGAAATAATTGAATTTCATTTTGTGACATTTATGTCTTTTAACACTCTATTCAGTCGTATGTCCCCACCTAGCATATGGAATAGGCTATCCACATCATTCCTCGTCTCTTATAAGAGGTAGGCAAAAAAGGGGGGAAAGCTCTCTGTTCCTGCGTTGATTCATCATTTTTAACGTTTCTGATTCAAAATTGAACTGTAAATTAATTTTGATACAACATCATATAGGCAAGAGTTCATGGAATTCTTTTAAGGAATTTACAATCGTATGATACTCCTTTCTTTTATATTCAAAGAAAAAGAAAATCAAAATTCATTTGTTAATTTTTTTTTATTTTTTTAGTAATCATTTTTTATTCCTTTATTCTCTTACATTTTAAATTTAAAAAAAAATGTTTTATTACAAAATAAGTTTTAGAAATAAAATATTCAAAATGATTCTAATTTTTAAAATATTCGTTATACATCAAATAATACAATAGTACTTTTATTTATATTTTTAAATATAAATTTATATATTAACTTTCTTGTTAATGATTATAAATGTTTACTCTATCATATTTTTTTATTTATATAAATTTAATTCATATATTAGATATTTAATATAAATTTTCTAGCATATAGAAACATTTCTTAAAAGCTACAAAATGAGAAACAACAAAAAATAATTACAAAAATACATATATTTCTACAAAATTAGAAACAATAAACAAGACATATAAACGTTACTAATCATTCTCAAAATGTCGAAGAACATCCGCCAAACATCTAATACAAACTTCAACTAGATACAACAAATGTTCACATCATAAAATTATACAAAAACAAATACATCTCTTACAAGAAGACATCAAAAACCCTCATGAATTCAAACACAAAGAAAAATATGAAATTTTACAATATATCGTACAACACATCCATGTGATCCACAGGGCAATTTGTGGTCTAATGATCTGGACCCAACAAGGAGAGAAGAAAGTCCCTGTAGGTGCCTGAGGTCTCAGAATGAACTGCTTTGTGCAGAGTTTTCTTATACTTCTTGTGGTATTCTGCCTTTATATATTGCATGTCTATCTCAGCTCTTGACACAATTACCCTTATCAGTGTGGAGTCATCTGTTCCCATCCCCTTCATTGCCTTCCGCAAAACCTGCAATTTCAACACTTCTTATAACATGTTTCGATGTTTTCGACTCTAGATGAGGAGTAAACTTCGGTGAATGTGTCGATCTATGTTGATCTACGATACGATCGGGGAGAAAGTGAGGAGAAACATAACTGATACCGCTCATCAGGTATAAAAATCGGTTTGGAGCTGATTATGTGTCCTTATCATTTTGATGTTTGATTCTACACTGTCAAAGGTCCTTCTTAGCGTGTGTTTGGAATGCCTTTTGAAAAAAGTATATTTAAGTGAAAACTTATTATATAAGCACTTTGAAAAAGAATTAGTGGAATATTTTCTCTAAAATACTTATCTGGTTATAGAATTTTTCAAATCAAAAAATTTAAAAAGTGATTTTAATCGGTAAAAAGCATTTTTTACCACTTTTTTAGTTTTAACCAAACCTTAGACATTGTTGGGAGTAGTCAAAATCACTTGTCATTTTTTAAAATTACTTGATATCATTTGTAAAACTGTTTTGTCATTGTCAAAATCACTTCCATTTAAAATAGTAATGTTTTACACCGACACAAGTTATTTTTAAAAATAGCAAAAGTGATTTTGGCTATATCAAAATTACTTTCAAACATGCCCTTTATTTTCTAAAAGAAACACATTTTTAGTCTTCTAATAATCGAAGGCAAACCGAACGCACAAAATCAAAGACTTGACCAAAAACAATCTAAAGACTACAAGTACTTCTACATGTTTTCTAGAGCACTGTATATTACTTCCAAATATGAAAATTTTGAGTGAAAAGTGCTTTTAGAGTGTGTCTGGAAGTGATTTTGACATGGCAAAATCGTGATTTTGGCAATGACAAAAGCGCTTTTGCCATTGCCAAAATCACTTCCATTTTCATTGATCATGTTTTGCAAAAATTGATTCTAGTAAAACATAAAATCACTTAAAATTAATTTTTAAGGTACACTTGGGTGGTAATTTTGAAAAATCAATGGTTCTTAAATCTCTTTTTTCAAAATTACTTCTTCTACCATCACTCTCAAACACACCCTTAGTCACGACAGAAGTGATTTGGACGTGTACTCCAAATACAACCTAAGAAACTTAACAGAAAAAAGATTGGACAATACCTTTGCAAAGTACAACCCAGGATTCTCAGCACACAACAAAATTGTTAGAAGGCCATGCTCAAAACTCCCAGAAGTTTCTTTTTTTACAGCCTGCAAAGAAAAGATTTGGTCTAGTACTGTTAATCCTTGAAAATCTTTATATTCCAGAACCAATATAGCTTCCAACAGTAATATAATGAACAATGCACCTCTTTCAAAGAGTTCCCATATGCATGTTTATAAGCATAACTAACAGCAGAGAGGTGTGCTCTGCTTCTTTCACTGAAAATCTTTATAAATTTGTCCTCATCAGTTCCCAATTTCTTCTCTCCAGCTTTGTACAGAGATTTTGCATCTTTCTCTGCCAAAGCTCTGTCAACTTCTGGGCCTTCATAGCGCGGTTTACTAACGTAAGCCAGTAGCAGCTGCAAATAATTAAAACAGTTCTTAAGATCGTTAAAGAAAGAATACAATCAATCTCGACTGGTCTCACAAAACAACCGCTTAATCCTCAAGAAACTTGTAGGATTTTAACATCCTAGGTGTTGGCCACCCTTAGAGTTTGACCCATTACCCAAATTAGGCTTGATTTCTCACCGTTTCTCTTGGTATGTTTTCCACCTCCCTTAGAAACACATTTGAATTCTTAGTTAAATTTCATAAACAAAAACTAAGTTTTTAAAATCTATTTTTGTTTTTAGCTTATATAATTAGAACGCTTTGAATAATACATCAATGAAAAGTATATAACAAATGATATCTATTTCAACGTCACTAGTTCAAACCCATGATAGGGAGCTCCTTTTTTCATATAATCCAAGCACAATACATAGGGCACGTTTTTGCAAATGATATCTAAAAACACACCCTATTACTCCGCTTGGATTATACGAGTTTACCTCTGCATCTAAAAACTCACCATCTCCACCACAAGAAGTGACCATTTTACATGCATTCATCTCAATCTCATTAGGCTTACAAAAGCCCTTCAAGTAAGAGATAATTAGGGGAAAGAAAGTGTAGAACCTTCTTGTGATCATCAGCTGTTCTGCTTTCAATATCACGTTCAAGGGGAGAGCGAAACATTGCCAAGTATACTTGTTTAAAATGATGAATCTGAGATGGTGTACGAGAACAGATTACTTCAGTGGCAGCTTTAAGACTAAAACTTTCTCCATATAAAGCCTCCCTCACTATTATAGCATCTCGAGTTGCTGGATCATACAGCCATAGCAAAATTGCTTTCTGCAAAGGTAAAGATGAATTAGGATTCAATGATGTCCAAAGTAATACCTTATTATTGCATAGTTAGAAATAACTCGTACACAAGACTCTGAGTGTGTGTGTGAGAGAGAGTAAGAAGGTTTAAATCTTATTTTGAGGGTCCGTTTGGTAATCTTGTTTCCCGTTTCTCATTTTCTGTTCTGTCGTTTCTTCGTTTTTAATAAAGAAAAATATAGATTCTTTGGAAATTATTTTTATTTTCTTTTTTTATTATTGAAAAAAGAAATAGAAACATGACAACCATTTCTTGTCACTTGTTATCTACAATTTTAAATTAAAAAACTAAGTTTTACATAAAAATTAATTTTTAAAATTAAATATTAAAAATTTTTATATTTTTATTTATTTTTTAAATATTTATTATGCATTTTATAAGTCAAGAATATCAAAATAATGTTTTTATTTATGTTGTAACAAAAATTGGAAATGGAAACAGTCGAATAAGAAACAAGAAACTTGATTTTGATTTTGTTGTAATTTTGGAAACGTTTCTTAAAAATGAGAAACGATAAAAAAAACAATTATCAAACGCTTATGTACTAAAAACCTAGAAACAAGAAATGGAAATTTTACCATTTTGATTACTAAACTTTTAAAATGTCTATTTCAATCCTTGTGCTTTGAAAAATAACTATTTTAGCCATTATTATTCGTTTGCTGCCTAGTATTTTCATATCCAATATTCGCCTCAACCAACTTATATGGTTTCACTACATACCCTCATTAGCGCCTTAGTATATGCATACTTGAAGCGCTATTATCCATTTGTTATAACCAAAAAGGTTGAATCATTCTTTTGAAAGGTTAGAAACTAAGACTAAAATGGAATGCGTTAAAAATAATAATAATAAATAAATAAATTTAAAAATTTATGGACTAAAATGAAAATTCAAAAGACTAAAATAGACTAATCATTAAAGTAATTTACGAACCAAAATGCTTAGGTGGTTTCAGTATATGACACATACTTGAAGCAACATTATCCAATTGTTACAAGCAAAACAAATGTCAAATTATTCTTTCAAAAGGTTAGGAACTAAAACTAAAATGGAATAAACTTGAAAATTGATGGACCAAAACAGAATAATCTTTAAAGTTGATGAACCAAAATGAGATTTAAATGGAATAAGATTTTTTTTTTTTATAAGAATTAAGAAACAGAATGATTGTTTGATTAGGAACCTCGACTTTGCCACTAAGCTCAGATTTCAAGCGTTTG